CTACGAATCTTAACAGCGTTCATTCAAGCTCTGTCGTCCCCGACAGTTCTGTTCTTTCACCTGGAGAAGGCTACTTGTGTTGTGGCCGAAACGTCGTGAGAATTTTATTGTGTTATTTTTATTATTTTATTCTCATTCTACGTGGTGACTTTACCGAAAGAACCAAAGAAGATGAATCCTTGCAGTCACGAAAGCTTTAAATCGAAATTTGATTCTTTGCTGTTGTCGAAATGTGGCGAGTTGTTGTTTAGTTGTTGCTGTTGAAATCCGGACAGCCCGGGCCTTTAAAAATCCCTCGCGAACTCCGATTACGGATCCCTCGTTCAGCCAATGATCCTAAACCCCCGAACCTTCTTCCCACGTGACCCCCCCCACTCCCCCCCCCCATTGTCTCCGCAGCCAATCGCTTGCGAGAGTATTCCCGGTCACGTGGGGTGGGCCGACGTCCGACAGAGAACGCCACGCTAATTGCGGGACATCGGGCTTTCGCGAATTTGGAGTCGAAACATTTTGACGAGCGGCACAAAAAATATAGAGAGCCCCATTTCGCACAGCCGACCGTTTAAAAACCCCAACCTCCGCGCCGGACGAAGACCTCCGCGTGTCGCGACCACACGATTCTTTTCCCCGACCCATACTTCACCGCGCTGGTCAGTGCGGGGCTTTTGTCAAGGATGACGACCCCCGGGGAACCGGTTCAGATCATATATCGCTCGCCGCCGGTGTGAAACCGCGGGTCGGGAGTCGAACTCCGGCGACCGAGCTTCATGTCGCCTTGCTGTGAATTTCCACGCGATGATGACGATGACGATGACAAAGCCGCCAACTTCGTTGAGCTATCACTTGTGATGGCTGGGTCGCTTCTGAAAGAGAGCTGCATAGGCTCGGTGGGCACAACCTGCTCAAACAAAACTCGTTTTCATCTTCACTTGACGCTTTTCGTGACTGCAGGAATCCATACTCTTTGGTTCTTTCGGTAAAAGTCACGTGGGTAGAAGTAAAATAGGGCAATTATTTATTTATTTCATTTCTACCTACGTGACTTTACCGAAAGAATCAAAGAGTATGAAACTCTTTTTTGTTTTTGTTTAGGTTATTATGGTGCATCCACCGCTGCGACACCGCTCGCAACGGGGGGGGGGAGGGGGAGCCAAGAGCCGTGGGGACCACGAAAACGTTGCATTCGATTTGGCTCGCAAAGCCTCGCGACGGCCAGGCCCAGCTCAGAGGAGAAGAAGAGCGACCCCACTCGGCATGTTTGACCGGACTGTGCGAAAAAAACGAAGAAAAGAATCCTCGGTGAGGATTTCCCTGGTTAAATAAATAAATGATTGCCGCCATCGCAGGCAGCTATCGTGAAAAAAAAACTCCACAAAGTATTCGGTGAATTCGAGGCAAAGTTGAGCTTTTAAGGCTCGCCAAAGTACAATAATTTAGAGCATCAAAAGGCGGATGGACAAGCCAGCCATTCAGCTGGCTTGTTAGTTTTTGCACCTTCGCTTATGGCAAACCTTCCAACGCCGGAGCTAATTAACTATTTTTTTTTTGCTTTTAAAACCCCGACCACCCCACCACCACCCCCCCCAACAATGTTTAGACACAAACTTCGGAAGCCAAAATACGTCCAGGAAGGAGAAGACGGATTGTCGCAATTTGAGATTCCATTAAGAGCCAAGGAGGAGGAGGAGGAGCGGCAAGGGGCTGATGAACTCCTCTTCATCATTAGACCTCCTTTGCCAGTACCAAAATGTAATAATAGGGTTTTTCCCCATTTTTCTGGCAACAAAACTGAAACCATAAAATAATAAAAAAATATAAAACAATAAAAATTCTCACGACGTTTCGACCATAACACAAACGGTCGTCTTGAGGTGTGTTGGTTTGCATACATTTATTTTTAAACGGTGCATTTATTTATAAAAAAAACGTTAGCGCCACGCGCAGCGATTTGGCAGTTTATTTAGGACTAGTCCATCTATGTTCTGAAAAGAGGAGGGGGGAGGCGAAATTTTTTTTTTAATGTATGCTGTCTGAAAGCCACTGTAAGCGTGAACAATCAATTAAGACCTGAAATGGTTTATCAAATCTTTCCAATGATTGCTAAGCCAGAATCCATCTTCTCGGTTGAAATTGTCTCTGTGCTTGTATATGTGGATAGCCTCATGAACGAATCTCTCATGGTAGCCAGATGGCTTACACCGTTTAAAAATAAATAAATTTATGCAAACCGACACACCTGAAGACGACCGTTTGTGTTATGGTCGAAACGTCGTGAGAATTTGTATTGTTTTATATATTTTTTTATTATTTTATTGTTTCCCTTCAACGTGACTTTACCGAAAGAACTAAGAATATGAATTACTGCAGTCACGAAAGCTTTAAATCAAAATTTAATACTGAAACCTTTTTACAAGGATTCATGTCACTGCATTAACCACAATACCTGCAGTCAAAATGCAAACAAAAAACACACTATGATAATATATCATGCATTGTCCTTGAAACTGATTGGTCCACACCAAGGGACGGCTTTCTTTTGAGCCTCGACCCAATTGGTGCTCGACCAGATGAACCTTGTAAGAAGGTTTCAGTTTTGTTGCCAGAAAAAAGGGAAAAACCCCTATTATTGAACTCCTCTTCGTCGCCCGCTTCACGACATTCCCCGGGCCCTCGATCCATACGCAAAACGCCGTCTGACTACGGCCCTAGCCACCCACCTACACACGACAACAGCGGCAGCAGCAGCAGTCGTCGACATTCGCCACCAAGCGGCTGTGACACCGCCACGGCGCCTGTGCCAGGCCAGGTGCACTCCGAGGCCACGTGAAGCGTCGAAGGCTCGCCCCTGACAGAGGGGGTCACGGGACGGACCCCAGCTGGTGCCGTGTGTTGACCGACTGAGATCACTGGCGGCGGCTAGGAGATGTTAACTACCTCGGCTGGTATACAGGAGGTCGTGGGTACGATCCTGACCCTGATGCCTGCTGCTGTATATTTGGAGTTTGCGTGTCTCTCTCTCTCTCATCATCATCACGGTGGCTAGGAGATGTTAACTACCTCGCCTGGTGTACAGGAGGTCGTGGGTACGATCCTGACCCTGACGCCCGCTGCTGTATATTTGGAGTTTGCGTGTCTCTCTCTCTCATCATCATCACGGTGGCTAGGAGATGTTAAACACCTCGCCTGATATACAGGAGGTCGCGGGTTCGATCCCGACCCTGACGCCTGCTGCTGCTGTATATTTGGAGTTTCCGTGTCTCTCTCTCCCTGTGGTCGCGTTAATTTTTCTCCGCGTCATCCGGTTTGTCCCTCCGCATTTAGAACCAACGTCACGCATTTACAGTATTCGGCCACTTTAAATGTCCACGCGATAAGCCACTTCGTAGAGCTATCATTTGTGATGCGCCAGGTCACTTCTGAAAAAGAGCATCAGAGCTCCGTGGGGGTTTACCTGGTCAAATAAAAAAAAAGAATGATGCAACACCTCTGTGCCCCCTACTGCGCCAACTCGCTGCATTTTTAGCGCCCCCCCCCCCCTCCTCCGGCGCTCCGCTCGTTGTTGCGAGCGTCGCTCCTCTGCCGTCCGCTGCTGCTGCTGGGAGTGCGACTGCCTCCGGCTGCCCAGTAGTGGAGGGGCCGGGCCCCACAGACGCCCCTGGCGACTCTCTGAAGTGGCGCCGGGAGCAGGAAGCGAGCCGAGCCGGGGCCGGACGTGACCAGAAACGTGCATCGGCGGCGCCCGGGTCTCGTCCCTGTGGCCGTAGGAAACGCCGGATCGGGCCAACCCCCCTCGCACGAACGCGAACCGTGGCCGCGAGGCAGCCCACGTCGGGCTGCCACGGCCGCGCCACCGCCTTCACCGAACCGTCACCGCACCGTCACCGCACCGCCACCGCCGCACCACCACCTTCACCGAACCGTCACCGCCTGCCACAGCCGCGCCACCACCTTCACCGCAGCGTCACCGCCACAGCTCCCCGCCTGCCACAACCACGCAACCACCTTAACCAAATCACTTGCCGAACAACCCGTTTCTTCTCCCCGTGCCGCGGTGCCCGGTTTGCCGCCGCCGCCGGCAGCGCGTGGACACTCGCGAGACGGAGATTCATTTTTTTTGCTTCGTTTCGCTCCAACGTCCCCTCGCGTCTTCCCTCGTTCCTTCCCGGCATTGGAAATTATCAAAGGCCGCCACCCCCCCCCCTCCACCCCACTACCCCCCCTCCACCCCACTACCCCCCCTCCACCCTACTACCCCCACCCACCCGACCGCCCCACCCTTTGCTCTTCGCTCACCTCCCCCCAGCAGTCCCTCCCACCACCAACCACCCCCACAAACCCCCCCCCCCTCCACGCTAAACGATAAAATAATAAAAATCAGGCATTCAGGTTCATTATATATTTTGTTGTGTCACAGAACAATTACAAGTTCAGCCTTCGGCGAAGCGAAATACTGCAACATGCTTGTGTTTGTCTGCGTGTCTGTCTGTCTGCGTCTCTGTCTGCGTGTCTGTCTGCGTGTCTGTCTGTCTGCGTCTCTGTCTGCGTGTCTGCTCTCTTGTCCGTCTGCCTGCCTGCTTGTCTAAACCCCCCAAAAAACCAACCCCTTCATCATGAATATCCCCCGCTCGCCTGTCCGCTCATCTGCTTCGCCTGTGTCTCGTCTGCCCCTCTCATCTCTCTGCCCGTCCACCCGCTCGTCCGTCCGTCCGCCCATCTCCCCGTCCGTCCGTCCGTCTGCTTGTCTATCCGCGAGACCCGCGCGGTCTCATCGGGCTCGCGCTCCCGCAAACCAAGCGAAGCTCGGCGGCCGCGCGCTGCGCCGGGCAACGGCGCGGGGGTCGAAGGTCGCGCGGCGCCACCGGCAAAAAGGCGCCCCCCCCCCCCCCCCCCCCCCCCCCCGTCGTTGGTGCCCCAAATGGAAGAGTTCTGATTTTGTTTACTTCGGTGTGGAGTCTCTGGCGAGTGACCCCAATTGGCCGTCCCCCCGCCACTTCCAGCCCCCCCCCGCCCCCCGCCCACCGCCCACCGCCACCCCTCTCAGACCGGTGGTCGTGGCGTTTTTCAATTCCTCCGTTTCATCTTCAAAGCAACGCCAGCTCGTGACGACAACGACGACAACAACAACAAAATCTTCTCGCCCTCCTTCCGTGCGCCGGATCACCCCCCCTCCTCCCTCCCTCCCCCTCCCCTGCCGTGCCGTCTCCCGTGACCTCTCTGTGTAGGGGACAAGAGACAGACGGAGAGAGCGGGGGGCGGGGGGGGGTACAAGGTGTGAGAGAACGGATCTGTCTCTACCTGTCTGTCCGTCGTGCTGTAGAGTATTGTTATTGGGCGAGTGTGGGATTGAGTGCAGTTTGTACAAATATTCTCCTCCTGCTTCTGCAGGGATGAGAGTGTGTGAGTGTGTGAGTGTGTGACTGAGCGGAGTTTGTCAATTCTCCCCCCCCCCCCGCTTCTGCGTGGATTTACGTCTGGGTTCTCCCGTTTCCCTCCCGTAGCTAAACACGCTCACTCACAACGTAGCCGGCGTTGGCCAAACATCCACAATGCTGAAACGTTTACCTTGCAAACCACTCAGCAGCATCAGCATCATCACTGCCCACCTCTGTGAATCTACCGCCAGGCAGTGTCCGTGAAACTTCCTCCGACAGCGCCAACGCCGCACATACTCAATGATTATCACGACCGGACATCGGTGAAAAAGAGCTTCACGGCTCATCGGATTCCCCCAGTATGAATAAATATAGAGTCTTAATTATGATGACGTCCCACGATTTGCTCAACAGTGCTGGGAAGGGGGGGGGGGGGCGCTTTCAGTTGGGTTGAAAACCTAAAAATCACCCCGTAAGAGCCGTGCTGCACTACTGGGCCGACGGTGATAAAGAATGCGATGATGACGATGTCAAGATGTCGTCATTCTCAGGAGCCTCGATAGTATGCAGATGAAGGAGGCGGGCAGCAGCGGCAGCAGCTGCAGCAGAAGTGGCAGCAGCAGCTGCAGAAGCAGCTGCAGCAGCAGAAGTAGCAACAGCTGCAGCAACAGCTGCAGCAGCGGCAGCAGCGGCAGCAGAAGTAGCAACAGCAGCGGCAGCAGTGGCAGCAGCAGCTGCGGCAGCAGCGGCGGCTGCAGCTCACCGCTCTTCAGCTGAAGACGTGAGCGAAGAGAACGGAGAGGCCGATGAAGAGCAGCACCAGCATGGACGTCAGGATGGCCTTCTGCTCCTGAAGTGCAAGGGAGACACGCGGAGGCAGACACAAGGGGACGGACACGCGGGAACGCGCAGAGGCACAGACACACGGAGGCAGACAGAGACACAGAGACACGCGGTGTTGCACGGAGACACATGTTGACACAGACACGTGGAGATACAGACACGCGGAGACACACAGAGTCACACGGAGACACAGAGAGACACACGGACACATGGGGGAGACACAGAGAGACACACGGAGACACAGAGAGACACACGGACACATGGGGGAGACACAGAGAGACACACGGACACATGGGGGAGACACACACAGACGGGCATTAACGCTGCGCAACACGACTGGCAATCATACCGCACAATTGACGCAGCGTCCACAGCACTAGGGGACCTCCTGCTGGAAGCTGACCCTATGCGGCACGAGCAGAACGGGGGCGCTGCGGTTGCGAGATGTTAACTACCTCGCTCGGTATACGGGAGGTCGTGGGTTCAATCCTGACCCTGACGCCTGCTGCTGTATATTAGGCATCTGCGTGTCTCTCTCTCCCCCTCTGCATTTAGAGTCAACATCGCGTGTTTAAGAGTATTCGGGCCGCTAGAAATTTCCACGCGATGGTAAACCACCTCGGTTGAGCTGTAACTTGCCGATAGCCAGGTCGCTTCTGAAAAAGAAGTGAGACACGCAAACTCCAAATATACAAATATACATCAGAGACGGGATCGAACCCACGACCTCCTGCATACCAGGCAAGGGAGTTAACATCTCCTAGCTACCGTGATGATGATGATGATGAGAGAGAGACACGCAAACTCCAAATATACAGCAGCAAGTGTCAGGGTCGGGATCGAACCCACGACTTCCTGCATACCAGGCGAGGGAGTTAACCGTGGCACCCTATTGTCCACCCCCCCCCCCCCCCACCACGGTCATTTCAAGCGCCACGCTGGGAGGTCGCATCCAACCGGTGACCTCCGGATTGCGGCGTGTCAACTGCTCGAAGCACTGTGGGGCCAGCAGCAGCGGCAGCAGCGGCAGCAGCGGCCCCTTCGATACGGCACCATGTGTTGGTGGTCCGTGTGAAACTCTAGGAGCGCATGGGCATGGATTAAGGGAAGGGGTCGAGAATTTGCTGAAGCAACGCGACCGGGAGGGGGAGACAGCTGCGGTAAAAAAAAAAAACAACCCGGCGAGAAACGGCAACAACACCGCCGCCGACTGCGACGACGACGACGGGATAAGCGGAATGTGCCCGTCGCGGATCGAACATCTGGGAATAAACATCTCGGCAATATTACGGAGAGCGGGAGGGAGCGAGCCAAGGGAAGGGGAGGAGGGAAGCGACTCATCAACCAACTCGACAACCCACCCACCCACTCGCTATTCACACACTCGCCCACTCGCTAACCCACCCACCCACTCGCTATTCACACACTCGCTAACCCACCCACTCGCTAACCCACCCACTCGCTATTCACACACTCGCCCACCCACTCGCTAACCCACCCACCCACTCGCTATTCACACACTCGCCCACTCGCTAACCCACCCACTCGCTAACCCACTCACTCGCTAACCCGCCCACCCACTCGCTATTCACACACTCGCTAACCCACCCACTCGCTATTCACACACTCGCCCACCCACTCGCTAACCCACCCACCCACTCGCTATTCACACACTCGCCCACTCGCTAACCCACCCACTCGCTAACCCACTCACTCGCTAACCCGCCCACCCACTCGCTATTCACACACTCGCCCACCCACTCGCTAACCCACCCACCCACTCGCTAACACACCCACCCACTCGCTAACCCGCCCACCCACTCGCTATTCACACACTCGCCCACCCACCTGCTATTCACACACTCGCCCACTCGCTAACCCACCCACTCGCTATTCACACACTCGCCCACCCACTCGCTAACCCACCCACCCACTCGCTAACCCACCCACCCACTCGCTAACCTACCCACCCACTCGCTAACCCGCCCACCCACTCGCTATTCACACACTCGCCCACACACTCGCTATTCACCCACTCACCCACCCACTCGCTAACCCACCCACTCGCTATTCACACACTCGCTAACCCACCCACTCGCTAACCCACCCACTCGCTATTCACACACTCGCCCCACCCACTCGCTAACCCACCCACCCACTCGCTAACCCACCCACTCGCTATTCACACACTCGCTAACCCACCCACTCGCTAACCCACCCACTCGCTATTCACACACTCGCCCACCCACTCGCTAACCCACCCACCCACTCGCTAACCCACCCACCCACTCGCTAACCCACCCACCCACTCGCTAACCCGCCCACCCACTCGCTATTCACACACTCGCCCACACACTCGCTATTCACCCACTCACCCACCCACTCGCTAACCCACCCACTCGCTATTCACACACTCGCCCACTCGCTAACCCACCCACCCACTCGCTATTCACACACTCGCCCACCCACTCGCTAACCCACCCACCCACTCGCTAACCCACCCACCCACTCGCTAACCCACCCACCCACCCACTCGCTAACCCGCCCACCCACTCGCTATTCACACACTCGCCCACCCACTCGCTATTCACACACTCACTCACCCACTCGCTATTCACCCACTCGCCCACCCACTCGCTATTCACACACTCACTCACCCACTCACTTTTCACACACTCGCCCACCCACTCGCTATTCACACACTTGCCCACCCACTCGCTATTCACCCACTCACCCACCCACTCGCTATTCACACACTCGCCCACCCACTCGCTATTCACACACTCGCCCACCCACTCGCTATTCACACACTCGCCCACCCACTCGCTATTCACACACTCGCCTTAACAGACTGTTGGGGCAAGTGCTGTTAGTGAGCACCTATGAAGGCCGGCACGGCACACACGAGGGGTGTGGGTGGACAACACCACGCCCGGCCGCCTTTGTCTCCCCAGTGGCGACGTTTACACTCCGCACCAGATGCTCGACCTAAGGGAGGCCCAGGACCGGTTCAGATAATCGCTATCACTGGTGTTGGCCGCGAGCGGGAATCGAACTCGGGTCGCCGGGTACGTAGCGCAGCGCGCCGACCACTACACTCACCTACTTACCCTTTCATGCAACTACCAAACTGCGTAGTCACCCACTAAGCAAATTACTCACCTCACTAACCTACCGACTCACACCTACCTATTCACTTATGAACCCACTCACTCCCCCGCCTACTCATCCACTCACACACACACCTACTCACTTATCTACTCACACACCTAAATAGTTACTCACCTACCCACCCACCTATTCACTTACCCACTCATTTACTCACCCATCCAATCACCTACCGATTCTACTCACTCGCCCAACTCACCCACAGATTCACTGGCGATGAGATAGTAAAACCGGACCTTGGAGGTATACAGGAGGTCGTGGGTTTGATCCGACCCTGGCACCTGTATATTTGCAGTTTGCAAGTCTTTCTCCTCGTCAGGGGCGGAGCCACAGGGGGGGGGGGGGGGGCTTAGCCCCCCTGAATTTTTGGCAAAGTCGGTAATCGGGATAACCGGATATCCGGCTGCTGCAAAATGCTGCAGGCTGCCACTTTGTGCTGCCCTGCAGGCTGCCACCTTGTGCTGCCACCTTGTGCTGCCCTGCAGGCTGCCCCCTTGTGCTGCCCTGCAGGCTGCCACCTTGTGCTGCCCTGCTGGCTGCCACCTCGTGCTGCCCTGCAGGCTGCTTGAGCGGCAGCCTTTCAAACTTATCGAACTTATTTGCCACATCAGCGGCTCTGACCTATTAATAAACTCCGCATTCAAATCCAATTAAAAATTTGTTTTATACATTTGTGGCGCCCATTGGAAAACATGAACACTGGATATCTCAGAATATTGAAGTCAGCCCCCCCAAAGTCAAGATCCTGGCTCCGCCCCTGCTTCCCGTGGTAGCATTTAGAGTATCTGGCTTCTATAAATTTCCACGTGATATTGATAAGCCGCTTCTAGTCGGGCTATCATTTGCGGCCAGGTCTCTTCTGCAAAAGAGCTCTGTAGCTCAGTGGGGTTTTACCCGGTTAAAATAAGAACAGTTTTTTTTGAGTTCATACTGCGGGCGTATGAACCGTAAAAACACCGTGCACCGCCTGACTTGCAGTGGACGTGAGAGATCCCCGCCACGTCTGAAAAGCAGCCAGGCTACGAGCAGGTGTGCCGAGGGCGTCACGGTCCGGATTTGAAAACAAAAAAATAAATAATTTCACCGCAAAATTTGGCAACAAAAAAACCCACATCAGCACCGGCATCACCCCCAACCCCCACCACCACCCCCCTCGCTGCGGACGTTTGGCAGCAACGGCGGCAGAAGAATCCACGCGGCAACATCGCAACGTCCCACCCCCCCCCAACCCATCTTGCTCTGAAACCACCGCCGACTGTGCCCGTCCGTGAAGAAGCACAGCGGCGCCGTGGCTCGTGGCGGCCTGTTTGCGCTGTGAGAATTTCCGGCGACGGCCCTGACCTCTCGTCGACCTCTTGACCCTGCGTATTTTTTTTGCTGGCGACGGCCCTGACCTCTCGTCGACCTCTTGACCCTGCGTATTTTTTTTGCTGGCGACGGCCCTGACCTCTCGTCGACCTCCTGACCCTGCGCATTTTTTAGTTGGCGATGGCCTTCAACTCTCATCGATCTCCCGGTGATACTCCTGACCTTGAGTATTTGTCACTCGTTTCGCCGTTTTTTTCCCCCCTTCTCGCTATCTATCTACTCTCTCTCTCTCTCGCTATCTCCCTCTCTCTCCGTTTCTTGCTATCTCTCTCTCTCCGCAACCCCCCCCCCGCCTACACATCTCTCTCTCTCTCACTCGCTCCTCCCCCCTCGCCCGGCGCCACCGCAAGCGGCAGTTGTCCCACATTCGCAAGGATCCATAAATAAGCGGAAATTTGACCTCCACATTTAAAGTGGCGCTCCGAGATCTTGTGCACGCGTAAGCACTCGCGACCGAAATAAAACGACTGCCGAGAGAAGTGTGTGCGTGTGTGTGCGTGTGCGTGAGCGCGTGTGTAAATAGGTGCTCGCTAACTGCACTTGCCCCAAGGGGCTATCAAGGCTATACGGGGGGGGGGGGGGGTGGATCTTTGTCTTTGTGTACATGGTTTGTGGGGAACGGCGGCGCAGCGGTTAGCGCTCTCCGCTACCAACTCGGCGGCCCGAGTTCGATTCCCGCTCACGGCCACCAACACCGGTGACGATTATCTGAACCGGTTCTGGGCCTCCCCTGGGTCGACTCAGCCTCAAATGAGTACCTCGTGCGCTGTGTAAACGTCGCCACTGGGGAGACAAAGGCGGCCGGGCGTGGTGTTGTCCACCCACGCCCCTCGTGTGTGCCGTGCCGGCCTTCGTGGGTGCTGCTCGCTAACGGCACTTGCCCCAAAAGTCTGTTGAGGCTATACGGGGGATCTTTGTGTATGTCAGGCAGTCAGTCTTCTTTATTTAACCAGGAGATGACGTCACCCCGTGGAGGGACACGCAGCAACATGGCCTCTTTTGCAAGGGCGACGCGGGTTACACGGAGTGTGGGTTGCGGGCGTGCACGTGTTGTGAGCACACGCGTGTTGTGAGCACACGCGTGTGTTGTGAACACACGCGTGTGCGTGCGCATGTGGCGCGGTGCGCGAAAAACAGCACCACCCACCCCCAGGTGCGCCGTGCCGGCCTTCATAGGTGCTGCTCGCTAAAGGCACTTGCCCCAACAGTCTGTTAAGGCTACACGGGGGGGGGGGGGGGGGAAGGATCTTTGTTTTGTTGGTAGTGGCGGCGGTGTTGGCAGCAGCCGGTGCCCCCCGTTCCAACTGCCGTGCCAGGCGATCGAATCGACCGGGGCGAATCCCCCTGTGCGGCAAAGCTCGCGGTGCCGCGCCGACCGTTGGGGATCCGCGGCACTGTCGCGGTGTGGCCGGGGTGCCCGTTTGCCGGCCGGCGCGCGCCGAGTAAGCGGCGGTGGTGGCGCCAACACCGACACGTAAAACCCTGCTGGCTTCAGCGATAACATTTTTTGTTTTTTTATACAAACATTAATATCCTCTCCTCTCCCTCTATCTCCACCTCTCGCCCTCTATCTCCACCGCGCTCTCTCCCTCTATCTTTCTCTCTCCACCTCTCTCCACATCTTTCGCGGTGGTCAGATCGGCGGCAGGTCGCGCCACGACCCGCCCCGTGACCCCCTCCTCCCCCCCCACTGCCACCGCCACCCCCCCCCACCCACACCTCCTTCGCCACGATCGCAAGTCGATGGACACACGCACGGCCGGCCGCCAACGGGCAGCACTGTTGTCGAAGTTGTAACGGGTGCGTCTCTTGAATCGAGAAGAAAGGCTGTTGTCGTAAGCGCTTGGCAAGAGAGAGTTTGGGTGGGTGGGTGGGGGGTGTTGATGTAAATTTTTGGGGCACTGTCGTCGTCATCCCTCTCTCAAAACGAGCTCAAGCCTCCCACGAGTCGCACGTCACTTTCTGTTGTGACCGCCCCCACTCTGAATGCCTACCCCCTCTCATCTGTAAAACTCTGTCTGTCGAAACCAGCTCAAGCCTCCGGTACATCACGTGGCTTCTCTTGTGGCCACTCCCACTCTGAACCCCTCTCCCCGCCCACTGTGAAAACAGACGCCGCTCCTCCGTGCAGCAGCAGCAGCAGCGTGGAGGCCCTGACACAGCAGCCTCCTCATCCTCATCCCTCTCCTCACCTCTCCTTGCTCTTTGCTCCCGTTTCTCCATTACTTTTCCACTACCACCGCAGCCACCACAGCCACCACCGCCACCACCACTCACCGGTGTTCTGTCTCGCACGCGGATGACCTCCTCGATGACCTCCACTTTCGGTTTCGCCGCCTTGGACACCGACGGCCTCTTCCTCCGCTCGGGCCCCTCCTTGCCCTCCTTCCGCTCCTCCTGCTCCTCCTCCGCGGCGGGGTCACGCGGCGACGCCCCGCGGGGCCTCGCCGGCGACTCCGGCCGCGGTTTCGATTCCCGCGATCGTGCCGGCGGCGACTCCGGCTCTGGGTTTTGCCGAGCGGGAGGCCGGCGCGACGCCTCGGGGGACTCCTCGGCGCCGCACCGCGGAGGCCCCGAATGGGCCGGCCGTGCCGGCTCCGGTTCCGGGAACGTGAACCGGAACTGCGGCTCGTCGTCAAACTCCCGCTCCGATTTGATGGCCCCCGCCACGTCCCCTTCGTCGCCCCTCGTCTGCCCCCGGCGCTCCCGCCTCTGTCGCCCGACGTCCTCCTCCTCCTCCTCTCCTTCCTCCTCCTCTTCCAGGACTTCCCAATCCTCCACCTCCTCCTCCGCCTCCGCCCCATGCTCTCCTGACGCCACGCGCTTCTTTCCTCCGGGCACTCGTCCGTCGTCAAAACCGGCTTCAGTGTCACGCTCCTCCTCCTCCTCCTCCTCCTCCTCCAGCTCCTCCTCTTTCTTCTTCTTCTTCTTCTCCCTCGTCTGAACCTCCGCTGCCACCGTCGCATCCTCCGTCTGCCGCAGCAGCAGCTCCACCTCCTCGTCCTCCTCCTCCCTCTCCTCCTCCTTCGGCACGTCGCCGCGATCGAAGAACGCCTTCTCGGCCGGCGACAGCGTCGGCGTCGCGGGCACGAAGTCGAAGGCGCCGTCGCTGATGATGGACACGCGCGTGTTCACCGGGTAGTCGTGGTAGTACGAGATGTAGTCCGCCGACTCGTGCTGCTGCTGCTGCTGATACTGCCGCTGCGGCTGCTCGCCACCTTCCTCCTCTTCCTCCTCCGCCGCTGGATAGTTCCCGTCCCTCTCGGCCCTCCGCGCCGCTGCCGCCCCCGTGGCCGACGCCGCCGCCCCCCCCGCCACCGGCTCCAGCGGCCGCATCTGCAGCTCGTAGCTGCTCGAGTGGCGGCTCCCGCTCGCCGGGTTAGGGGTCACGACCCCCGTCGCCGCCGTCACGCCGCCGCCGCCGCCGCCGGGCGACGGCGCGACCCCTGCGCCGATGTCGCCGTCGGCGCGCCGCTTCCGCTCGTCCGCCGGCGCCTCCGCGGCGGCGCGGCGGTCCGCCCGATCGGCGCCGGCTCCCGTCTCCCGTTGTTCCCCGCCGCTCCACGGCCGCGTTGGCCATCGCCCGCGGCGCCCGACGCCGCCGCGGCGCCGCAGTGCCGCAGCTCGGGGCTGGACCGCGTGACGAACGGCGCCGGGTTCCCCCCGCGGAGCTGCAGCCCGCCGCCGCCGCCGCCGCCGCCGCCCCCGGGGCTCGGCGGAGGGCTGGAGGAGCGCGGGGTGGAGCGGGCCGTGCCGTCGTCGCCGCCGTGGTAGAGCTCGGGGCTGTAGCGGTCGATGGGCTCGTCGGAGCCGCGGTACTTGTGCTCCTCGCCCGCGGCCTCGCGTGCCGACTTCTGCCGCTGGTACTCGAGGCCTGGGGGGGTGGGGTGACGGGGAGATTGGGGGGGGTTGTTGTTGTTGTTGTTCCGCTTGTTTACCCACGCAAGCCTCGCCAAGTCTAGAGGGTTGGTCTTTTTCAGGAGGATGCCGCCAGGGTTTTCGCAGGAGAGGGCCATGTTACTGCTCGTTGAGTGCGTGAGTGACATCCCAATTGAACACTTTGTTCTCGATGTCAGTTTATGGGTCTCCAATGTATAGAGTCCATGGGTCTGTATGTATAGAGTCTATTGGTATCTATGTGTAGAGTCTATGGGTCTGTATGTATAGAGTCTATTGGTATCTATGTGTAGAGTCTATGGGTCTGTATGTATAGAGTCTATGGGTCTCCATGTATAGAGTCTATTGGTATCTATGTGTAGAGTCTATGGGTCTGTATGTATAGAATCTATGGGTCTCCATGTATAGAGTCGATGGGTATCTACGTATAGAGTGCATGGCTCTCTACGTACTTTTAGATCCAGATTGAAAACACATGTCTTGACAACTGCGATTCAGCACGGTTGGCTACGTTACAGCGCGAACGAAGTTCAACACACACGCGTACACACTCCCACGCACACGCACGCGCGCGTTGAGTTTGGAGCCGCGTCGATCCTTCGCCCATCTCTGCGGAACAGGTGCCGTTCGGCGTTAAATCACCGGGGAGGAGGAGGAACATTCGGCTCTCTCCGATATGGGCAGCGGGTATTGATAGAACGGCATGCATTCCCGCGGCACGCTCTCCCCCCACCGCCACCGCAGCCGCCACCGCCACCACCGGGAGGGGCCAGGCCGTGGCGTTCCAGTCAGCTGTGATGCGTGGATGTCATGGCACGTGCGTGCGTGCGTGTGCGTGTGTGCGCGCGATGCAGGGAGCGGGAGTGGTACGGGGTTGGCACGCGGCGCTGCGAACCGGGCGACCCGGGTTCGATTCCCGCTCTCGACCACCAACACCGGCGACGATTATCTGAACCGGTCCTGGGGCTCCCCTAGGTCGACTCAGCTTCAAATGAGTACCTGGTGCGGTGTGTAAAATTACGTTACAACTAGGGAGACAAAGGCGGTCGGGTGTGGTGCTGATCACCCGCCTCGTAGAGTTCCGTGCCGGCCTTCAGAGGTGCCACTCGCTAACATCACTTGCCCCGAAAGTCTGTGAAGGCTACACGGTGGATCTTTGTCTTTGTGACGTGAAAATGTCATGATGTGCGTGTGAAGTGAAGAGTGCGATGGTGATGTGTTTGATGTGTGGATATCATTGTGTGTGTGGTGGGTGGATTGTGGCAGTGTGTGCGGTGGGTGGTGCGCGTTGTGTGTAGTGCGTGGTGTGTTTGGTGCATGGTGTGTGTGGTGTCGATTGTGGCGGTATGTGTGGTGTGTGTGGTGTAGATTGTGACGGTGTGTGTGGTGTGTGTGGTGTAGATTGTGACGGTGTGTGTGGTGTATGTGGTGTGTGTGGTGTAGATTGTGACGGTGTGTGTGGTGTGTGTGGTGCAGATTGTGACGGTGTGTGTGGTGTGTGTGGTGTGTGTGGTGTGTGTGGTGTAGATTGTGACGGTGTATGTGGTGTGTGTGGTGTGTGTGGTGTATGTGGTGTGTGTGGTGTAGGTTGTGACGGTGTGTGTGGTGTGTGTGGTGTAGATTGTGACGGTGTGTGTGGTGTGTGTGGTGTATGTGGTGTGTGTGGTGTAGGTTGTGACGGTGTGTGTGGTGTAGATTGTGACGGTGTATGTGGTGTGTGTGGTGTGTGTGGTGTAGGTTGTGATGGTGTGTGTGGTGTGTGTGGTGTAGATTGTGACGGTGTGTGGGTGGCGGTTCGATTTAAGGTTTTTGCCGGGCAGCTCCGAGCCAATACCGCCGGGATCCTGGCTCCCAACCCGAGCTTTCCAGCGCCGGGGGTTGAACCGGATTCTCAAGCGTGGCGAGTTCAGAATCGGAATGAGCAAATCTCTCACTGGGAAGCAAAAATCCGATGAGCTGTGAAGCTCTTTTTCACAGGCGTCCAGTCGGAGTTGACGCTCTTAACCCAGGCTCTGACGACTGCACGAGATAAAAAAAAAAGACCTCACTCCGCTAAATGTGGCTTTGCGCCCTAATTCGGCAAGAAACATTCCAAAAAGTTTAGCGAGCAAATAAAATAATTAAGTTCAGCTTTCGCCGCCGCGCGACAGACGTTCCTCACGCCGCGTGGGAAAGTGCCTCGCGTGCCCCCAAACCACGCCCCCACCCCCCCCCCCGCCTTGAAGGTATCTCAGATGTTGTTCTGTGAAATCCACTTCCGTGGGCCGTTCTTTCTCTATGACGCGGGGGGGGGGGGGGCGGGCGATGCACCGCCCCCCCCCCTGGGAGCGTTCCGAAACGGAGGACTTCCTTCACCCCGCGCTGAGCGCGCAAAAACGACAGCGCGAATCGTCGTCATCGGCAGCGTCATCGTCAGCGGCCAAGGTCTATCCACAGCTGGACGAAGGCCTCCCCCCGAGCGTGGCGATCCGCGTCGCTGCATCTCCCCGGGCTCGCGGCTCCGTCCGTTGGCTGCCGTTCCAGCACCCAGTCTCATCCGCTGGTCAACATCCCTTCTCAGCCACGACGCGTCCGTTTACCCAAGCCACCGTGGGTAACACGGCGGCTAGGAGATGTTAACTACCTCGCCTGGTATACAGGAGGTCGTGGGTTCGATCCCAACACTGACGCCTGCTGCTGTATATTTGGAGTGTGCGTGTCTCTCTCTCTCATCATCATCACGGTGGCTAGGAGATGTTCACTACCTCGCCTGGTATACAGGAGGTCGTGGGTTCGATCCCAACACTGACGCCTGCTGCTGCTGCTGTATATTTTCAGTTTGCGTGTCTTCATGTCTGTCCCCGTGGTCGCGTGGATTTTTCTCCGGGACCTCCGGTTTCTCCCTCCACATTTAGAGTCAACGACGTGCGTTAAAGAGTATTCGGCTGCTGTAAATGTCCACGTGATGATGGGCTATCGTTTGTGGCCAGGTCGCATACCTCAGTGGGGCCTTATCTGGCAAATAAAAAATAGCAGTAAAGAATAGTGTGTCTGGGCGTGGTGCTGGCCACGCTTACAGCACTTGCCCCATCAGTCTGTTAAGGCTAGACGGGGGATCTTTGTCGTCTAGCAGAGTCATTGGCGCACCGGTCAGAGCATTTGTCCACTGCTGATACATTTCCACACGACGATACTTCGTCGCCTCTGAGAATAAAAGAGCTCCGTAGATCAGCGGGAGGGGGGGGGGGGAGCCCTTACCTGGTAAAATAAAAAAAAGTTTAAATATTCTATGGTTCTTTCGGTAAAGTCACGTGGATAGAAAAAATAATAACAATAAAATAATAAAAAATACAAATCAAGCGGTCGTCATCGTTCCCGATGACGACCGCTTGTGTTGCGATCGGAACGTCGTGATATTTTTTATTCGCCTCATTTTTATTTCGCATTATTTTATTGTCATTATTTTTTCCATCTACGTGACTTTACGGAAAGAACCGCAGAATATGAATTACTGCAGTCACGAAAGTTTTAAGTCAAAAAATAAAAGTTTAAATCGTGCGCTTTTTTTTCCTCTCTCTCGTCTCGACGGCCAATAAGACATCGCCGGCGGCCACTCTCTCGGCGCTCCGTAGCGCCACTTTTCATACCCCCCCCAATCCCCCGCCACCGCCCCCCCTACCCCATTATCGACTTATTTATCCCCGTTAGCGATTACGTAACGCGCCACCGCGCCACCGGCCCCCACCGCCGACGATTACGACTGCGGAGATATTGGATGATGGGAGACGCGTCGCGGGATTAATGTTCGTGATCCTCGCTAAGGCAGCATTAACACGCGAGGCACACGCGTGTGCGTACGTGTGCGTGTGTGTGCGTGTGCGTGTGTGTGCGTGCGTGTGTGTGTGTGTGCGTGCGTGTGTGTGTGTGCGTGCGTGTGTGTGTGTGTGTGCGCGTGTGTGTGCGTGCACGTTTATCGGCCTACGTGGGCGCTGCTGCTCGCTAACAGCACTTGCCCCAACAGTCTGTTAAGGCTACGCGGGGGATCTTTGTCTCTCGGCCAACACCAGTGACGATTATCCGAACCGGTCCCCTAAACTAGGTCGACTCGGCCTTAAACGAACGAGTACCTCGGTGCACTGGGGGGGGGGCGGGCAGGGGGGGGTGGGGTGGGGTGGGGAGAGACAAAGGCGGCCGGGCGTGGCGGCAGACTTTCGAGCATCGCCCCTTCGTGTGTCGAGTCTTCTCCGGGTACTCACGATTTTTTTCCTCTGGAGTACTCGCGCCCGCGTACCTCCAGAGGAAAAAAATCGTGAGTACCCGGACCCTCGTGGGCACCGCTCGCTAGCAGCAGCACTTGCCCCAACAGTCTGTTAGAGGCTACGGTGTGGAGGGTGGGCGGGGGAACCTTTGTCTTTGTCACCACGCACCGGGCTGGTGGAAGGACGGCGAGAGCTCCTTGGCGATGCCACGCGCCGTCCTCGCCTCCTCCTGCGCCACCTCGCCCGCCGAGTCGGCGGCTTCCGCCTTGCTCCGCGCGTGCCCGGCCCTGCACACGCGACCGACGCCCGACCGACACGTGACGGACACGCGACCGACACGCGACCGATGCATGACGGGACACGTGATGAAGACGCGACCGACACGTGACGGACACGCGACCGACACGCGACCGACACACCACCGACACGCAACTAACGCATGACGAAAATCCGATCAACACGCGACCAACACGCAATGAACACGCGGCGCGTGTTTTAGGTGTGAGCGCTAGTCCCGGAACGACACGCGCAGAGCCGCGTCGGGCCGGGAGTCGAACTCGGCTCGCCAGGTTCGCGTCGCGGTGTGCTAACCACTGCGCCACCACTCCACCCCCATTGTTATCTGGTTGATGCGGCTGTAACTTCGTGATCACGCTGAGATCGGTGTCAATGGCTACGGTGAATTCACCGCTTAACACCGCCACTACACCGCGACACAGCCGCTACCACCAGGAGGACCCAGCAGCCTACACCTCTACACCACACACACTACACACTCACACTACACCTCTACAACACACACACTACTCACACACACTACACCTACACCACACACACTACACCACACCCATACACCCATTACACCTCTACACCACACACTACTCACTCACACTACACCTCTACAACACACACACTACTCACTCATACTACACCTCTACAACACACACACTACACACACTACACCACACACTACTCACACACACTACACCTCTACAACACGCACACTACACCACACCCACACTACACCTCTACACCACACACATTACTCACACACACTACACCTCTACAACACACACTACTCACACACACTACACCACACCCACACTACACCTCTACACCACACACACTACTCACACCCACACTACACCACACACACACTACTCACACTCACACTACACCACTACACCTCTACAACACACACACTACTCACTCACACTACACCTCACACACTACACCACACCCACACTACACCTCTACACCACACACACTACACCTCTACACCACACACACTACTCACTCACACTACACCACACACACTACTCACACTACACCACACATACTACACCTCTACAACACACACACTACTCACACTACACCACACACACTACACACACTACTCACACTACTCACACCCACACTACACCTCTACACCACACACACTACTCACACTACACCACTACACCACACACTACTCATACACACTACACCACACCCATACACCCATTACACCTCTACACCACACACTACTCACACACACTACACCACACACACTACACCTCTACACCACTACACCTCTACACCACACACACTACTCACACTCACACTACACCACTACACCACACACACTACTCACACTCACACTCACCACACACACTACTCACACCCACACTACACCACACCCACACTACACCTCTACACCACACACACTACCCACACTACACCTCTACACCACACACGCTACTCACACCAACACTACACCTCTACACCACACACACTAATCACACCCACACTACACCACACACACTACTCACACTACACCTCTACACCACACACACTACTCACACTCACACTACACCTCTACACCACACACACTACTCACACTACACCACTACACCACACACACTACTCACACCCACACTACACCTCTACACCACACACACTACTCACACTACACCTCTACACCACACACACTACTCACACCCACACTACACCACACCCACACTACACCTCTACACCACACACACTACCCACACTACACCTCTACACCACACACGCTACTCACACCAACACTACACCTCTACACCACACACACTAATCACACCCACACTACACCACACACACTACTCACACTACACCTCTACACCACACACACTACTCACACTCACACTACACCTCTACACCACACACACTACTCACACTACACCACTACACCACACACACTACTCACACCCACACTACACCTCTACACCACACACACTACTCACACTACACCTCTACACCACACACACTACTCACACCCACACTACACCACACATGCTACTCACACTCACACTACACCTCTACACCACACACACTACTCACACCCACACTACACCTCTACACTACTCACACTCACACTACACCTCTACACCACACACACTACTCAAACCCACACTACACCACACACACTACTCACACCCACACTACACCTCTACACCACACACACTACTCACACCCACACTACACCACACACACTACTCACACCCACACTACACCACACACACTACTCACACTCACACTACATCTCTACACCACACACTACTCACACCCACACTACACCACACACACTACTCACACCCACACTACACCTCTACACCACACACACGACTCAAACCCACACTACACCCCACACACTACTCACACCCACACTACACCTCTACACCACACACACTACTCACACCCACACTACACCACACACACTACTCACATCCACACTACAACTCTACACCACACACACTACTCACACCCACACTACACCACACACACTACTCACACCCACACTACACCACACACACTACTCACACTCACGCTACACCTCTACACCACACACTACTCACACCCACACTACACCACACACACTACTCACACTCACACTACACCACTACACCACACACACTGCTCACACCCACACTACACCTCTACACCACACACACTACTCACACCCACACTACACCACACACACTACTCACACTACACCACTACACCAAACACACTACTCACACTACACACGCTACTCACACTCACACTAGACCACACACGCTACTCACACTACACCTCTACACCACACACACTACTCACACTACACCTCTACACCACACACTACTCCACACCCACACTACACCTCTACACCACACACACTACTCACACTACACCTCTACACCACACACTACTCACACTCACAATACACCACTACCCCACACACACTGCTCACACCCACACTACACCTCTACCCCACACACACTACTCACACCCACACTACACCACTACACCACACACACTACTCACACTACACACGCTACTCACACTCACACTACACCACACACGGTACTCACACTCACACTACACCTCTACACCACACACACTAATCACACTACACCTCTACACCACACACACTACACACTACTCACACTACACCACTACACCACACACACTACTCACACCCACACTACACCACTACACCACACACACTACTCACACTCACACTACACCTCTACACCACACACACTACTCACACTACACCTCTACACCACACACACTACTCACACTACACCACACACACTACTCACACTCACACTACACCACTACACCACACACACTACTCACACTACACTTCTACAACACACACACTACTCACACTACACCACTATACCACACACACTACTCACACTCACACTACACCTCTACACCACACACACTACTCACACTACACCACTACACCACACACACACCCACACTACACCTCTACAACACACACACTACTCACACTCACACTACACCTCTACACCATACACACTACTCACACCAACACTACACCACACACGCTACTCACACTCACACTACACCACACACACTACTCACACTACACCTTTACACCACACACACTACTCACACTCACACTACACCTCTACAACACACACACTACTCACACTACACCTCTACAACACACACACTACTCACACCCACACTACACCTCTACACCACACACACTAGTCACACCCACACTACACCACACACACTACTCACACTACACCTCTACACCACACACACTACTCACACCCACACTACACCACACACACTACTCACACTACACCTCTACAGCACACACACTACTCACACCCACACTACACCTCTACACCACACACACTAGTCACACTACACCTCTACACCACACACACTAGTCACACCCACACTACACCACACACACTACTCACACTACACCTCTACACCACACACACTACTCACACCCACACTACACCTCTACAACACACACACTACTCACACCCACACTACACACACTACTCACACCCACACTACACCTCTACAACACACACTACTCACACCCACACTACACCTCTACAACACACACACTACTCACACTACACCTCTACACCACACACACTACTCACACCCACACTACACCACACACATTACTCACACCCACACTACACCTCTACACCACACACACTACTCACACCCACACTACACCTCTACAACACACACGCTACTCATCACTGCATCGCTAGACACCATCCTGTACGTCCCCACCTTCCCTCTACGTCCTACAGCTCACACAGCCACACCACCACCCCCCCCCCCCCGTCACACTCCAATGTGAGTTGAGGACACGTGGGAGGAAGGGGGTGGGGGCTGGCTCAGCTGTGGCCGCTGACCCGGCCACCCCCAGCCGGGATTCCGGGATCCCGAGCCCGGCCAACACTTCGTAACGCTCTGCTCGGGGTCCCCCGTCGTGTCGCAGCACCACAGCCGGTGGGCAGCCGGTGGGCAGGCGCCCTCAGGAGCCCAGGGGCAGCCCCGAGGGGGGCGGGGGGCGGGGGGCGGGGTCGGGGGGTGGCGGCCAAAGGGGGCAATTCTCCCCCGGGCACCGCCCCAAAAAGAGCACAACGCATGCAGTGTGTTTTGTCGCAAGTTCATAAGTGGGTGGGTTGGGTGGGGTGGGGTGAGTTTGGGTGGGTGGGTGAGTTTGGGTGGGTGGGTGAGTTTGGGTGGGTGGGTGAGTTTGGGTGGGTGGGTGAGTTTGGGTGGGTGGGTTTTTCATGGGTGGGTTTGGGTTTGGGTGGGTGGGTTTCGGTGGATGGGTTTTGGTGGGTGGGTTTTGTATGGGTGGGTTTGGGTGGGTGGGTTTGGGTGGGTTTTTTATAGGTGGGTTTGGGTGGGTGGGTTTGTGGGTTTGTGTTTTGGTGGGTGGGTTGGGGTGGGTGGGTTTGGGTGGGTGGGGTGGGTGGGTTTAGGTGCGTGGGTGGATGTTGGTGGGGTGGGTGGGTTGGGGTGGGTGGGTGAGGGTGGGTGGGTTTGGGTGCGTGAGTTTCGGAGCGTGGGTTTGGGTGGGTGGGTGGGTGGAGATATGGAGGGACAATACGTATATATGTATAGATGGATGTATAAACTCATGAATAGAGGGACAGATAGATCAATGAACAGATGGACGGACAGACGGAGGGTCATGCGGATGGATAGATGGTTGTGTTGACAGAGACAGCGGGATAAAGAAATTAACCGATGAACGGACGGACACAAGCGGACTAATAGATTAACGGGTGGATGTACCGACAAATCAGACGGACAGGCGAGAAGGGAAATTAAAAGATGGACGGACAGAGGGAGGGAGGGAGGGCCGAGCGTGATGGCACGGACGAACCGACCGGGGAAACGCCGCCAACAAAACTCTGCACGGAGTGGGGCCATGGGCACGGAATTCCCCGACGATGCCCCGGCGAGGGGGCAGCCTTCCCCCCCAACCCCCCACGCGGGGGAGGTAGGGGGCTGGGGGGGGTGGGGGCTGGGGGGGGAGTTCCGCTGTCCCCGGCGATTATTTGCGGACGCTGAAACGCGCGCTGGGAGGATCAACACCTTCCCCTCAAGCCCATACCCCTGGGCCGAGAGGAGACGCCCGGGGGAAATGCGACACGGGGACGCGACCAGACCAGACTCACGATGATCATGGTGGTGGTGGTAATAACAATTATGGCGATGATGATGCTGGTGGTGTTGGTGGTATTGACAATGATGGCGATGATCAAAATCACCACCAGCATAACAGCTATCACTGCCACCACCGCCACCATAATAATTACTGATTTCGAGGTGGCGACGATGATTACTTTGAATCAGGAAAGATGCCGATCATGACGATTCAGGAATTATGACGACGACGCTGACAATTGAGGAATCACGACGGTCATAACGACGACAACGACGACGATTCAGAGATGACGATTATCATCCCCGTCATCGTCGTCGTCGTCATCATTAAAATAAAATTTTTTACCAGGTAAGGCCCACTGAGCTACGTAGCTCTTTTTCAGAAGCACACTGACCGCAAATGATAGCCCAACGAAGTGGCTCACCACGTGGAAATGTATCGCTGCCGAATACTCGTAGCGGTGACGTTGATTATTATAAATGTGGAGTGGACAAAAATCCACGCGACAACGGGGAGAGAGAGAGAGACACCCAAACTTCAAATATACAGCAGCAGCAGGCGTCAGGGTTGGGATGGAACCCGCGACCTCCTGTAGACCAGGCGAGGTAGTTAACATCTCGTCAACACCAAGCGATGCACAACAACAACAACAACAACGGTGACGACGACGACAACGACACCCGCAACCGCCCCACAGCGACCGCCACCCTCCACACTCCCCCAGCACCCCCACGGCCCCCCCCCCCCCCCCCCACCGTCACCTGGACGCGGCGATGTCGGCCTTCTGGCGCGCGATGGCGGCGGCCCGGTTGGCGCCCTCGACGGCTCGCTCCACCTTGCCGCGCACCTTGCCGGCGCGCAGCGGGATGAGCGCCCGCCGGCGGGCCCCGGCGCCCGTGGGCAGGGCGCCGCGCTTGTACTTGCCCTCCTCGGCGCGCCCGTCGGCCGCGGTCGTGCGCCCGTAGCCGTGGCGCTCGTCGTCCAGCCACTCGCCCTCGTAGCGCAGCCCGTCGGAGCGCTCGGCCACGCCGAAGCCGCAGCGACGGTCGCCGCGCCACTCCCCCGCGTAGCTCTCCGTGGCCGACGCGTCGTCCAGGCGCGCCGCCTCCTCCTCCTCGTCCGCCGCCGCCGCCGCCGCCGCCGAGCCGGCGCCGGCGGCGGCGGTCGTCGCCGCCGCGGTCGTGCCGGCGACGGGCGAGTCCCGGCCGACGTCGCCGAAGCTCATCTGTGGCGGAGCGAGGGAGTGTGTGCGGAGGGACGGGGTTGGTGGAGAGTGTGGAGAGAGCGTGGAGAGCGGTGTGGTGCGCATGAAGAGAGCGGGAGGTTGACTCGTTGGATGGCAACGGTGAAAACGGTTCAAGGGCCACGACAAGCCGCTTCGTCATGCAGCTCAGCGGGCCTTCACCTGGTAAGTAAAAGTAAAATTATTTGTAGTTGATACTCTTTGGTTCTATTCGGTAAAGTCACGTAGGTAAAAAAATAAAACAACAAAAATCACGACGTTTCGGCCACAACACAAGCGGCCTCCATCAGGTGAAGGGACCAGGCTGTTTCGAGGACAGCGCTGGAGTGAAACACAGCCACGCCAATCTAGTATTTGTAGTTGAGTTTACGAGCACCCGGCGCACAACCCCAACGAGCGACAACCCCCACCACCCCACCGCGGGGGGGGGGCGGGGGCAGGGGGGGGGGGGGCGGGGGGGGGGGCGGCGGGGGGGGGGGGCGGCAGGGGGGGGAGGCCTCACCTCCGACTCGGCGAGGCTGTCGCCGGCCTCGCTGCGGAAGGAGCTGCGCTTGCTCAGCTGACTCGAGAGCGACGCCTTGGAGTCCGACTTGCGCAGCTTCAGCCCGCTGAGCAGCGAGCCGCTGCGGAACAGGCCGCGCTTCTTGGCCGCCTTCTCGGGCTTGGCGTTGGCGCCCGCGGCGAGGCCGGCGAGGGCGAAGCCGGCGCGGGTCGTCAGCAAGCCGGGGGCGCCGGGCGCGGCTGCGAGGGCGGCGGTGCAGCGGTTAGCGCGACGTGAAGCCCCAGCGGACCCGGGTCCCCGATGTTTTCCCGTTCGCGGGACCGGCACAGATCGTCGGCCTCCCCCTCCCCCAACCCTCCCCACCCCCCCCCCCCACTAGGTCGACTTAGCCTTAAATTAGTAGCTGGGGCGGAGTGCGTAAAACACCGGCACTTGGGAGACAAAGGCGGCCCGGCGCGGTGCTGGCCACACTACCGCCCCCGTGTGCCGTGCCGGCCTTCATAGTTGCAAATCGTTAACAGCGCTTGCCCCAAGTCTGTTAAAGGTTATATGAGGGATCTATGTCTCTGGCGGTGGTGGTGATGGTGTCGGTGGTGCTATTATATCGTCATGTTCTTGGCAATTGATTCGTAACAGATGTTTTTTTGGGTGGGGCCACGTGATTAATGAATTTCCGTCATTCTGTAATCATAACAATCATCAGGGCTATCGGATAACTCCCATTCTTCAGCAAAATAACATCACAATTACCTCTTTTTTTCTCAATCATAATCATCATAACTAAATCATCGTCATATCTAAACAATTGTCATTTCCGCATCAGCATCCTTTTTAAAATCATCATTATCATCATCATCACCATGAGTTCTGAATCGTGACAATGACGGCGGTGGTGATGACAGTGCAATGGCAGCAATGGCAGTAATGGCGATGCTGCTGCTGATGAGCTTAAGAAAGCCGAGGATGGCTTTGATGATAGTGACGGCGGTGATGATTACAGTGCAATAATGGTGATGGTGATGCTGGTGATAGTGGCGGTGATCATAACATTGAGCGTGGTGATGGCGGTGGCAGTGATGATGACAGTGAGAGTGATGATGGTGGAGGTGATTATGATGACGTTGAGAGTGATGATGATGGTGGTGGCGGTGATGATGACAGTGAGAGTGATGATGGTGGAGGTGATGACAGGGCCGCCAAGTTTTCAGAGTCGGGGGGTGACAATTGCTGCCACGCGTGCGATCCCAATCGAGTCATTCGCGGTGAAATTCTTTTGCAAAATTTGGCAAACGTGGACCGTGACGCCGGCACACAACAGCCTCCTCTTGCGAATCACGTCATGGTTGCGGTGATGGTGGTTAATAATAACAATCATCGTTATCACGTCAACTCAAAACAATGCGCCAACACCACGCAGTGTTCGCTCGCTCTCGTAGATCGGAGAGGGAGGACGACGACGCGGAAGGCAGCAGGAGGAGAAACCACAGACGAGGAGCGGAAGGCAGCGAGGAGCCGGCGCCACCAACGATTGCCCCAAGCTCTGCGGTCCTCTATATACGAAGGTGCTATTGGCCAATTCATCTTTACATGTGGGAGGAAACCCACGCTCAGCCTCAGATGAGTACCTGGTGCGGTGTGTAAACATCTCCGCTTGGGAGAAAAAAGGCGGCCCGGGTGTGGTGCTGGCCACCCACCCCCTCGTGTGCCATGCCGACCTTCATAGGTGCTCGCTAACAGCACTTGCCTCAAACAGTCTGTGAAGGCTACACGGGGAATCTTTATCTTTTGGTGGTGATCGTGATGGTGGTGGCGGTGGTGATGATGATATGGCGATGGTTGCGGCGGTGGTAGTGGTGGTGGCAGCGATAGTGGTGGTGGTGGTGATGGTGAGTGGTGGTGGTGATGGTTGCAACAGTGATGGTGGCGGCGGTGATGACGATGACAATGGTTGGCGGCGAGAGTGGTGGTGATGATGGTGGCGGTAATGGTGGCGGTGGTGATGGTGGCAGCGTTAGTGGTGGCGGTGATGGTGGCGGTGATGGTGGTGATGGTGGCGACGGCGGTGATGATGGTGGTGATTGTGGTGGTGGTGATGGTGGCGACGGCGGTGATGGTGGTGGTGATGGTGACGGCGGCGGCGGTGGTGGTGGCGGCGGCAGTGACGGTGACGGTGATGGCGGTGCGTTCACCGTTGGGCTGGGGCTGCTCGGCGGTGCCGTTGCTCTGCTCGCCGGCGCTACGGATGGAGAGCAGGGAGGAGCGGTGGGCCGCGCGGTACACCGACGCCATGCCGTACGGCACGCTTTGCCGCAGCCCGTAGCCATGGCGCTCCCCGTTCACCCACTGGCCCTGGTAGGTGCCTGCAGGGAGACAAAGGTAAAGGTAAAAGATTCGCCACCACGCTCCCCCCCCCACCACCACCCCACTGTGTCGAGGCAAGTGCTGTGAGTGAGCACGGCAACTCACTATTTGCCGGCCGGCAAGGCCGTGACCACACGAGTTGGAAGTGTGGATGGTGCTGCGTCCGGGCCGCCTTTGTCTCCCCAGTGTTGATGTTTGTACACACTGCACCGGGTGTCCCTTTTTTGAGGCCCAGTTGAGCTAGCGGTGGTCCAAAAATCATTTCAGATAATTGCCACCAATGGTAGCCGCGAGCAGCCGTGAGTACGGTGCGCCAATGACTATGAAAGACGACAAAGATCCTCCGTCAAGCCTTAACAAACTGTTGGGGCAAGTGCTGTTAGCGTGGCCAGCACCACGCCCAGACACACTATTCTTTACTGATATTTTTATTTTACCAGGTAAGGCCCCAGTGAGCTATGTAGCTCTTTTTTCAGAAACGACCTGGCCACAAACAGCCCAACAAAGTGGCTTGTCATCATCATCATCACGTGGAAATGTGTAGCAGCCAAATAATCTAAACGTGTGGTAGTTGATTCTAAATATGGAGGGAAAAACCGGAGGACCCGAAGAAAAATCCATGCGACCACGGGGAGAGAGACACCACAAACTCCAAATATACAGCAGCAGCAGGCGGCTCGAAACCACGCCTCCTGTATACCAGGCGAGGTAGTTAACATCTCCTCGCCACCGTGATGATGATGAGAGAGAGAGAGAGACACACTGACTCCAAATATACAGCAGCAGGCATCCGGGTCGGGATCGAACCCACGGCCTCCTGTATACCAGGCGAGGGAATTAACATCCCGCCACCACGGTGACCACACAGCCACATGCAGACAGCCGCGCATGCACGCACACACACAGACGCAGACACAAAGAGGGATGGGCATCTGGCGACTCCGATTGTATCGGGCTGGCAGGCGCCAGGTTATATTTATTGTGCTGATCAATCACCCACGCCGAACAGCAAATACAAAGATTCCCTCCCACCAAATAGCCTTAAAAGACTGTTGGGGCAAGTGTTATTAGCGAGCACCTATGAAGGCCGGCACGGCACACCAGGCGGTGGGTGGCCAGCACCACGCCCACAGCCGCCTTTGTCTCCCCGGACCCGATGTTCATTACACACCGCACCAAGTGCTAATTTGAGTCCGAGTCGACCTCGGGGAGGGCCCAGAACCGGTTCAGGATAATCGTCACCGGCGGTGTTGGCCGCGAGCGGGAATCGAACCCCCGGGTCGCCGGGCTTGTAGCGCAGCGCGCTAACGCCTTACACTGCCGCCTAACAGCACGCGCAGACGCGCACACACAACACACGAACACAACACGCCAGGGCAAACGGATGCCACACGTCGCGGTAACGGAATATATCGCGCCAGCTGCATCACGGTAACGGAATCGCAGAGGAGGTTGCGCACCCCACCCCCCCCCCCCCAAAAAAACACACACACACAGAGCGGCGACGGGATTACAGCGCGGCCTCGATTCGTGGTGACAGAGCAGACGGCGCGCGCGGACGGAAGCGCTTTCAGCAGCGAGCGAAGAATCCCCGCAACCAGCAGCAGCAGCGGCGGCGGCGGCGGCGGCCTCGGTAAAGTTGCGCTAGGAGAGCGACACGGAGGCGCCCGACCGCCGACGAGGGAGCGTTTACGGGCACCATCGCTGCAGACGATAGCAGCTGCCGGCCATCGGAGCCCCGGGTCGAAAACGATTTTGTATTTTGCCTGGTACGGACCCGCCGAAGCTGCCTAGCTCTTTCCTCAGAAGCGACAAAACGAGGGCCGCAAACGATAGCTCAACGAAGTGGCTCATCGTCGCGTGGACATTTAGAGCGGCCAAATACCTTGAAACCGGAGGGACACACCGGAGGACCCGGAGAAAAAATCCACGCGACCACGGGTAGAGAGAGAGAGAGAGAGACACACCGCAAACTTCAAATATACAGCAACAGCAGGCGTCGTCAAGAGTCGGGATCGAACCCACGACCTCCTGCACACCAGGCGAGGTAGTTAACATCTCCTAGCCACCGTGCCGGCGCCCCGTTCGGGGACAGTTGCCGAATCGGCGCGGGAAGCGACCACAGATGAGGCGAAAAGGGGGCCGCGCCGTGCGAGCCGGCGTCGACAATTGCCCAAGATTTGACGGTCCTCCACGTATATTTTTTACACATTTTATTTTAACTCACTCTGTTGTCGTCGTTGTCGTTCATATTCTTAGCTCTTTCGGTAAAGTCACGTTGAAGGGAAACAATAAAATAATAAAATATATATAAAACAATAAAAAAAATATCACGACGTTTCGACCATAACGCAAACGGTCATCATCAGGTGTAAAAAACCAACACCTGATGATGACTGTTTGCGTTATGGTCGAAACGTCGTGAGAATTTTTTTATTGTTTTATATATATTTTTTATTATTTTATTGTTTCCCTTCAACGTGACTTTACCGAAAGAGCTAAGAATATGAATTACTGCAGTCACGAAAGCTTTAAATCAAAAGTCGTTGTCGTTGTTGTATCCTCAAATCTTGCAAGTCAATTTTAACCCACTTCCCAATGTGATATCGACTGCAAACTTGGTATACTCATGTCACACTGATGACAATACTATATCCTATATTAAGAAATAAAAAATATATTTTTAAACAATCTTTTGTATATGTTATGTTTCGGCTTGGGTCTAATTGTCCACGCTCAACTGACGTTGGCTGTAATTGGCCACAGTCCCCTTACGTTGTGGCAAGCTTCGGGGCCACTTCCTGGAGTCGTGGAGTTCTGCCATTACTACAGTACATTTCATCCTGTGTAGGAACCTCCTGGTTACTACACCACCAGCCCACAGGGGATTATTGTGTCCGTCCGTCGTGCATCCAAAAATGGGAGGGGTGGGGCTGGGTGGGGAGGGTGGGGCTGGGTGGGGGGTGGGAGGGGTGGGGGCTGCGTGGGGAGGGGCCTGTCACCCCGTGGTGCCCTTATAAAACTCAACGTTTAACCTACTCACGCCGGCTTGTGCCCGCCCTCACAGTCGGGCATATTTGCGGAATACACCACGTGGTGGTGCCGCCGTTGTTGACCCTGCCCATTGACCGAGCAACCCAACGTTCCTACCAGCTCCCTCCACAGGAATGTATTTTAAAGAGTGTTTAAAAAAAAAGTTTTTTTTTTTAAATATTGCATCCGCTCATGACGTGCAAAAGCGCTTGCCACGAATGAACCGCGGACACCTCGGCTTTGGGCTCGGCCATCGAACCAAACCGGCGGTGGTCGCTGCGTCGTACCGCGGCGCTTTCAGATGCGCTTCTGCGGCCGTCTGGAACGCTCTTCCCTTCCGCTCTTAGGAAGCCACTGGGAGCTGTGCGCTCTCTGTGTTTCGTTTGCCGTCCTTCCGAAGACTGTCTGTGTGTCCCCGCGCATGACGTCACTCCACGTCGACCAGCCCCACTCATTAATTATCATTATATGGTGACGTCGTCCAAATGGACACCGCCCCCCCCCCCTCCCCTATTCATAATAATTAGCGGCTGACGTCACTCCACATGGGGGGGGGGTGGCGAGGCGCCTCCTCCCCCCTCTTCGACGTCAACTCACAACCCTCGCTACGAAGGCAGAACCCTCACGTCATCGCGTGATCTCCGTGACGCTGCTGTTGAGACATCAAAGTAAAAAGGACGTCACGACGAACAAGGGATCATAACCTTCAAATTAAATGTGCCTGTGTCGCCGCGCCACTTGCGAATTGCGCACGCATGGATGCGATGAATATCACGTGGCGGTCTGATTTTCGCTCGCGAGTTTCACATTTACTGCAATGCACCCCGTCCTTGGGCGGGCAAAAGGATAGTTAACCGTCAATCGACGTTGTTGGGTTGTTATTATTGTGCGTTGGCTGCTGCCCGGTGATGCACTCGAATTGTTAAATGTTGTGGGTTCACTCTCCAAGACGCAAAGCGGTGTTGCCGTTCCGTTGACGTAACGGCGACCTTCACTGATTGGCTGTGCCGGGGTGGTGGTCGGGTTTCACGACGCGGTTATATGAACGCGATATTAAGGGGGCGTCCATAAATGACGTCACGCGGTTTTGGACTATTTATGACCACCCCCCTCGTCACGCGGCGTCACAAAGGTCTGACCCCCCCCCGCTCACAACAAAACATATTTACATTATGAAAATAGAACACGCTTCAAATCGCCTTAAACTATTGCCATTGCAGTGCGTATTTAATGTGGCGCTGCACTCTGATGTTGTAGGAGAAAACATTTATTAGAAAGTCTATTTAATTAAGTTAGAACATGTTAAATTTTGGTTTAAAGCTTTCGTGACTGCAGTAATTCATATTCTTAGCTCTTTCGGTAAAGTCACGTTGAAGGGAAACAATAAAATAATAAAAAAATATATAAAACAATAAAAATTCTCACGACGTTTGTGTTGTGGTCGAAACGTCGTGAGAATTTTTATTGTTTTATATATATTTTATTATTTTATTGTTTCCCTTCAACGTGACTTTACCGAAAGAGCTAAGAATACGAATTAGAACGTGTTGTCTATATTTATTTAAAGTTGCGCGTTTTGACGTGACGTCACATTTCTCAGACCCTCCCCCCCCCCTTCGTCACAAATGTCTGACCCGCCCCCCGCCGCCGCCCGCCGCCCTAGGTGCGTGACGTCATTTATGGACGGCCCCAAACACAACAACAACAACAACACCTCCATTGTGGAGGAAAGGTCGAGTTGACGTTTTGTTTATGGGCGCCTCCTCCTGGCGCCTCGTGGGTGAAGGAGCGGGGGAGGGAGGGGGGAGGGCTTCCATCCAGCAGTGGATTGACCACGGCTGATGACGTCGATGACGAGGGGCATGGGGACAGCTACGTCACGGCGACGACGACGGGCGCGTGGGTCGCACGTCCAACCGCTCGCACTGTACAGGGGTGGAGGAGGGGGGGCGGGGGCGGCGTCAGG